CTGAGTTCTTTGTAAAATTACCTATAATCGCTGACAATTCGACCTTTGTCAATTTCCACTTTGGCAAACACTCCTTTCCCATTGATGCTAGGGATATCTCGTATTTCAAGCCAGGGAAAGTCCTTAAATTTTTTATGGTCTTGGCTCATCTGTATTTACTTTTACGCTAACTGTTCAACCAATTCACCTGTACTGGTTGAGCTGTGCGTCGGAGATTGAAACACTGCCGCTCGTACTCAGTGCGGTAGCCACCTAAATCTTCTTTCCTCGACGGTTTGTTATTGTGATCTCGCATGTAGCTGAGCACATTGTCAGGATGGGCCATCTCTGGCAGCAATCCAGCGTTTCGATCATGAACTGCGACGGGTTCGTCCTGTTCCATTCGTGGCTGAGGAACCTCGACAGATTCTTCTTGCTCCATTTGTGGTTGATCTAACTCTACAGGCTCTTCTTCTTCTTCCATTCGTTGGCTGGGACCTCGACAGGATTCCTGTTTGGTGCGCAAGCTGGTTTGATCGCGCGAGGGTGCGACCGTGAATGCTGTTGCAGTGGTTGTTGAAGGCCAGAGGCCTGAAAGCCACATTCAGCAACATCAGTAAACACTCGCAGTGTGGCCTTATAAGACCACGTTTCACTGACGTACCTAAAGGATTCACCATGTGAACTATCACTATCTGCATCATCTGGGCCTTCCTGCTCCTCAATCCTAGCATTTATTTCTTGTGGCTCTGGTGACATTGCAACCACAGCTCTGAAAAAACGAGACGTTAGACTAATTAATTATGGTCAATCAATGAACTTACCTTCGTAACGGCTTTAACATTCGTTTCACTTCAGCTATTCGCTCTTCCATTTTTCCTGCCTTGTCGCGCATGATTTCTGGTATCGCTCCACATATGTTATTTGTTGTGTCACTGGGTCGTGGCCTGTCAAAGCTCCAATGATATCTCATGACTGACTCGACGATTACACTTAACATTTCAACTATTGCTCTACCTTGTAGACGAGCTACATCAGGATCAGCAAAATTGGGCGCTAAGCTTCTCATACGTTCGTTGATGTATTTTTCATGCTCAATATGTGCCACACTCCGCCTTGACTAAAAAAAAACAAAGAAGCCGATAATAATAAGTAGCATGCTTGTTAAATGCTCACCGTACTACAGCTGTTTAGTTGCGTTCCCAGGTGAAAAGTTCCATGCTATGGTTCCTGCGGGACTCTTCAAGCGACAAATTCTATGTCCATCACTGGTAGTCCTACATGTGACTAAGAGAGGTAGTCGGAGCATAACTAAGAAATCGAGCACAAGTCTTGTCATGGAGCGTTTGTGGTGCACGACATGTTTTCGGATTTTGCTCTTTGAGATTGGCTATCATATTTCATTTAGTTTAATATTCGGCGAATCGGCGAATGCTTCCAAGCGTTTGAGCTGTATTGGAATTTCTGCTAAGCTCTGCGTCAAGCAGTTCAAATAGTTTTCGAGTATGCTCCTTTCCTAAGGTGTTCGCTTTTCTCTATTTTAATTAATCGAGCCCATTTTTTGAACCGCTGAGGTTTCCGCGGAAATTTCATGTCTCACGTGAGCTGGGGCGGTATTCAATCCCTTCCTCCAGGGGGATATATCCCCCTCCTCTGATTCAATCCTCTGGGGGGACAAAAAAGGGTTGCGTCATAGGACCTAGCATACCTCTGTGTTTCTACCTGCCAGACAGTTAGAGCAGCGCTACTATCCTCTGTTCGTCAGGTCCTCTGGTCGTCATGTTCGCCGATATTGTTTTCACGACATACACTGAATATCGGTTAATATCGGTCGTGATGGCATGCGAAATGTTACTGGAGTAGTTTTATAGTCCTACTCAGTTTAGTGTTAACCAATATTCCAGACTATCACTAACCTCGGTTTTGGAGTGTAGGTTGTTTTCTACTACTTGCCCCTCCATACGTCCAACAATTTTCACTCCCTTCTGTAAATTTACTATTGACCAAGTAGTAGACACTCACAACGTTAGTTGAAATTCATTTGAAAAGGTACATTTTGGTAAGTGTAGGATAAGCAATATGAGTAATGGTTAGGGTTGTACGGGGTTAGCAATGGTTAAGGTTAGCAATGTACGCCTACATATACAATTGGTTATGGTTAGCAATGAACACCTTAAAATTTTAATCAGCTTCAAAATTTAGGCCCATATTTCTGTAATTACACTAGTCACCACATATACTACGACAATTCAAAAACATAACTTCTATACCTTTTCTAGAATATTATTAATTGTTTATTATAACTTGCTGTATTGCACATGCAACAGAAGTTGAAGAACATGTAGTAAGTTTTAGTTTTTCAATCTTTTATAATATACACACTCCAATTCTTTTACCTCCCTTCCTTACTGAAGAGCACGGGGGGAGGATATCGGTGTCAGTTTGTTTTCCGTATAAGGGCACGTGCGAAACGGAAGACAAACTACTTCTTTGAAAAACCCCCTCCAATTAATTTGTTACATTCTTTGTAATAATTTCATTTACATTTACTTGTGTCTATACACTTGTAACGTACTGTTCACGAAGTTTCATATAGTGATTCAGCCATCTCATACACTTCTCATCGACGACAAAGCAGCACTGTTACTGTTACGCCACTGTTACTTGCCATTGGCTCACGTGCTCTATTCAAGCTCTCAGACTGTGGAAGAATACAACACCTAAACAGAACAGATAAATAAGGGATACAATTCACTAAAGCTGCAACTCTATGTATTCATACTCGGAACACCTGTGATGTCCGTATAACATCAGTACGAGGCTCAACTGCTTGACAGGCGAATATGTTACCGTAGATGGTTTTGTATGTGATTCATTTTACTGTGCAGCATGCAAAATGTACGAGTACGCCAAATCGCCGTCCTAAATAGTATTATAAATTAAAATAAAAATAAATACACATAAATAAAATAAAATAGGTCATAGATCTCTTTTAGGTTCACGTCCAAAGTTCACTGTTTTTGATACCTTACCTCAGTACAAAGTAATAATCAGAACGCCTTATATAGGCTCCATCTTCAACGAATTTTCTCATGATGGCTTCGATTTTTTCGTCAATTTGATCATATTCCACTATCGTTCGCATAACGCAATAAGGTTCTTTGGCCTGAAAAAGTGCTACGCTCCCAAAAACTGTCAATTTTTCACTGGATGATTATCTGTTACCTGCTCCCTGTCAAATTCACGAATTCCTTGGTAGGTTTTCAATGATTTTGTCTCCATCTTTGTTTTAACAACTGCATCTTTAGCTATTCTTATTGCATGTTGAAGCGCAGCATCTCTGCCATATCCAGCCGCTTGAACATTCACGTTAAAAAGTACCTTGTAGAACATCACTATAGGTGTATTTCACGAACCTGAGCCTATATTTAATCTTAGGTATTCATAGACAGCAAAGACTTTGCAAATAGCGACCTCACACTCACTACTACCCCCGAAATTTGTAGTCTGTGGAAAAAATCCTGAACGATCTCACAGGAATAAATAGCGTCATCAAGGGTCATTGTTCGGCCGAATCTGAATAGAAATAGCTTGCATTCGAAACTTGCTGAATCGCCAATTGGCCGTTATACATCGTCGCCCACTCATCATTACAATTACCTTTTTCTTGAACGCATTGCTACCAGCATGAATCGTTCTACATTACTAGCATACGATTTGCATTTTTGTCGAGTTTCCTGATGAACTTTTTGAACACCTGCTTCATCTCGTACCGGAACGCTGTCTCACATACTATAGTTACAGCGGAGGCTACAAATTCAGAATGCTAGCTTAGCATTCACTCCACTATATTTCAACTTCCCTACCGTTATGAATTCGAGGCTTGCGGTATAACTTTGCAGTATTGGATGGTTTCGCTGGTTCAATTTCCTCCACAATTTTAATTCTTGATCGACCGTACTCATCCATCCTTAATAATTACGTACTCAGCATAGCTCACCCTATTCACACTCGCTACACTATTCGTAGGCTACTCACTTAGACCACGTTTGCTTTCAGGTGGCACTGAAAAGGTTTGAATGTAGTACGGCTCTGGCTCTTCTTCTTCGCCTCCACTCCAATCGTCGTGTTCGTGGGCGAACATCAACGACTTGTCAGGAGGGCTCAGGAACCATTGGTGTACACGTGATCCAACTGTAATGTTTTCATCGTCATACACTTGTTCCACATCTACGAGATTTCTACGCTCTCACCACAATAGTGTAAATCTTGGCTGACGTTGACGGTGTAGCACAGCAGCCTCCGTGGTATCTCTGGTGCACTACGTGTGGGTGGTCGAAGATGAGCACTCTTGGACAAATACCATTGACAAAACGTTCTTGAAATTAGCTCATATAGCAGCTTACCTCTTCGCTCGGCATTTCTTCGCCTGATGATCCTGGTCTTTGCTCTTCTTCTTGTTCTTGTACAACTTGTGACGCTCTACCAGGCCATACTGGGTGTCCTTCCGCATTCATGGTATCTGCAGCACCGGGTACCGGATGACGGGGGATACGAGGTGGTTCCAAGGAACTTACGTTCAGATCCTGAAAAATTATAATGATACGAACACAAACTCAATACGACTGTCTACAGTACTTACGTCGTTAATTAGTGGAATGCCGTGGTTACGTAGCTGATTAACGAATCCTATGTAAATTGCCCATTCCCTCGGCTCTTGTGGTTTAGGGATAACGGATAGATCCACAGAAGCGCCTTTCATCCTTTCCAGTATTCCTCTAGTAACTTGCTTATGTGCCTTAAAAGTGTATGGTTTTTGTGGAGAATCGTTACGGAAAGGGTCCATATCGTTTACCAGATAGAGTTCGCTTATGTTTCCCTCATCGTCTTTCTTCTTGATACCATGCTCAGCCATGTGTGCGTGAAAACGAAATTTGCCATGTTTTCCACATTTGAAACATATCTGATACCCGTTCTCTTCGGCGGGCGGGTAATACACTTCTAAATTACGAACATAATTATTACATCTCATGGAACCCAAACGCTGGTTTCTCACCATTCGGTAACTCCAAAATGTATGCCAGGAATCGGCCCGGGCAATACTGTTTTTGCGTAATTTCCGATTCGCCGGATAATCCCGTTCTTCTGAGCCGTCCTACTTGAAGAAGCCGCGTCATGCACAAGAACCAGATCACAGCCCTGCACAAGAAGCGTTGCATCTTGTGCTGGGCTGTGATCTGGTGAAAGTGATTGCCTGTCCATTTTCCAATAGGAACTGAAAAGTAGTGTCAAAATTTTGTAGGAAGTGGTGGCCGAGCAGTGTATGTTGACGGAAATTATTTAAATAGGTTTGAGTCTGAAAACTCTGTAGTAGTCCTCCTCATCAACGAGTCTGTGCTTAATAGGAATCTTTATTAGTCAAATATACCAGGAACAGGAGGATATTGAGGCATATGATGCGCTTGATAATAATTCTTCCATTGCATCATATCTTTGTAGTCCTTTTTCAAGTTCCAATACATCAACACGCCAAAGACAATGACAAGCAACAAGATCAGTGGCTGCAGCAGCGTTGATGCGTCAGAGGTAGACCAATTCCAGGAGTCCGATCCCATATGTGGCGACGCATTAGGCGTGTAGTCCGGGATAGTATCCTGATAAATGCTGTGTATTACTTACAGTATCTCACATCGAGAATATTGAAAACCGATACGACGGTACTCACCGGGTACTATGATTTTGAAATCTGTGCCCATTACGCCCTGGACCACACGCGAGTCGATCTGCTCGTCTCCGATCAATAACCACTTCCCTTTCGGAACCTCGACAGCAAACACCGGATTCGTGACAATCCTTGCTGGCCGTGGTTTGCCGATGGTTTGCTGAGGCATCTCTCGAATTCGCGTGGCCCTGGTTGCTATTATCACGGAACGTGCTAGCGGCCGCACCATTGTGAACTGTAATTGTAATAGATGAGTAGTGGTAATATCCTCATTGTTCTGTACCCCTAATACAACAACTCCCGTACATGCTTGTCCGTCGAATTGTGCATGACCAGTCGACAATTATGCCTATCTGCAGAGAGCAGTCCACATCCGGGCATTTGTTCTCGCAGATTGCACAGCATAACTGACGACGAGTGCCTACACAGACTTTCGTGTTCCACCCTCTTGAGTGTGGCCAAATTGATTTCCTGGTTTTCCGCCTTTCCGATCGCGTACAGTCCTCCGACATCGTGCATCCAATATGACGTCATGTTTGGCAAGAACTGCCCAAGCGGCTCCACTCGAACCAAGTAGTCAACATCCAAAATCGTGGTCATCGGGTAGCAAATCTGAGACCACATTATTAGCACTATCTACATCGAAAACTATTATCATGCGATTACCTTTATCTCCATTGTTTCTCTATTCATCCCAATCACAGTTAGCCTTCAAGGCATCCCTTGCGCCAATACCGTGCAACGCCAGCAATGAAATGTTGAAGTGCGCGCCAACGAGTCGCTCAATTGCTGACATCAGGCTGCGGTTACTTGACCTGTGCAATAGCTCTTCCGCCACTCTGCCAAATCCGAACAGTTGGTCGAGGGTATCGCGCACTTGCCTATACACTTGGTATCGCACCAATGCAAATGTGTATCCGAAGTGGTTACTGTAAAATCATGCAAGTGGGAATTGCAGTAGGAAAAATGAACTCATCTACAGTTACAACTGTGAACTATCAACATCTGGAGTATACCTTGACGTTTCAAAAGTCATCTCATTGAACATGTCCAAAAACGTATGTCCGATAGCAACCATTTTTTTCTTAGTCTCCTGAAATGTGGATTCGAACAAGTTGTCTCAGGCGAAACATACGTAGAGCACGAATTTCGCAAGACGACTCACCGCTTTGTAGTCGCTGAGTTCACTGTCCTTCAAAAAATGTTCAAGACCTTCGAATATCAAGCCACCAAGTCCCATTCCAATACCGAGCGCCACGACTCCGGCGTAGGGGAAGAACTGCAGTTCCATCGATCTGAGAATACCCATAGTTGCGCAGAGGAATCGCGTCAGAAAAATGCAGTCAACGTGTATAGAATCTAGCTCACCTGAATAAAGGGGTGGAGTTGCGGCGCATGTCGAAAAGAGCTCTCATTTCACTTTTGTGCCCCGCCAATGCTGTTGCCTTCATCGTCTTATACACCTGTACACATTTCTCATGAAATTCCGTGGCGTAAGCACACAAATCGTGGGACTAACCTCCGATCGAAGAGTTTTATTCAAGGAGGTGGTTTTCATATCTGCTGCCAGCAGATAATCTTCAATTGGTTTCATTGCCGCCTCGAATAGATGCCCGTCAACATAAGCCGTGTAGTCTGTTAAAATTGTGTAGTTTATTCGAACGTTGATCCAGAGAAGTGATAGTGATGTGTAGAAAGAGTGCAAAAGTGCTCACCAAGTAGCACTATTCCACAAGCTTCTTTTCGAACTTCGCCAATTATTTCTGCGTAGAGACCATTACGTAGCAATTCATCATGAATTGCTCCATTGAGCTGTGCAGGAATATGCACAAATTCTGGCGCGTATGCACCGAATTCTCCATATCTCTAGTGCAGAAAAGCACCAAAATAGCCAACACTTTGTAGACCTGAGCCGACTGCATTCTGTAGCTGTAAACTAGATTCCAATATTACATCTTGAACAACTCGTTAGAAGGAAAAATCCTGATACTTATTATCGAAGGAAATAGAGTGTATGCATAAACACATCGGCAAGAACCAATGAAGAAGGAGACGAGCTCTTGAAGACTTACGCTGATTGGTGGAACTCCGCATTGCGTAGCTGATCCTCAAATCCCGTGGGCGATGGGGAAGTAAGAAATGAAGGTGAGAGAATAGAGTATAATGATTGGAGCAAACAACAACAAACAACGAACAAACAAAAAATGGAAAAATGGAATCAAAAGTAGCAATAACAATAGGCTGGGAAATGACTAATAAAATATTTTTTCAAAAAAAAACTTGAGCAAAAGAAACTTGTGAAACATATTCACCGTGATGAAGAAAACCGCCTCCCTAGAAGCACGGAAGATGAGCAGAATTTACACATCCTTGCTCGTTTTGTGATGCACCACAACCGCACAGGACGTAAAGAACATACACCCAATTGTCAAACATGGTTATCCGGAAGACAGCTTTGATTTCCCCTTTTGATCTGCACGGCCTAGTTCTTAAAGACATTATTGTTCAAATCGATTCACCCAATAAGAATCCTATACACCATGCAAATGCCATTCCTTCTGCCTTATAGCGGGATAGCTATAGCTGGTCCTAATCAGCACTTCGTTCCTGGCTTCCGCGAGGGATACTTCCAAATGTATTTCGCAGGTGGTATTCTAATGAGTGACCTTCTTTTCAAAAGATTCCTAGTGTTTTGCAACGCATGCGAAAGCACGTAATTTATTTATTTATTTATTTATTTATTTATTTATTTATTGACTGCGCCAAAAGTGCGCGCTACAGCGTGAAACTAGGGCCGCAGGTAACTGTGAAACTGTTCCAGAGAGACACTAAAACAAGCATACACAGAAAAGAACACAAATCATTTTCGAAGAGTATTCAATTTTCTTTCACTAGGTTAAGTGGAAGCTACGACGAGTATCTCACCAGGGCTCGCCAAACGTGAAAAAAGAAAACCATGCATCTATTCTTAGAAAAAAAAGCGTATGAAATAATTTCGAAAAAAATAGAGAAAGCGAAGAGGTAAAAAAAGAGAGCCTGTCAGACAGGAGGTTCATGTTGGAGTCACAGCCTAGTCAAGTGAAGTAAAAGTGAAGTAGTCCAAAATAACGCTCCAACACTTTAAACTTATTGGACCAGATATCATCCCACGATGTAGGAAAGTAACTCACTAATGCTTCGAACATTTGGCACACAATCATCTTTCGCGGATACAGAACACACTATACCAGCGGCTGACCGTGACGCAGCCCTGCACCAGTCGGCTATGGTGCCCGCTCGCCACATTGGGGGTCATAGGAGAAATAACAAATGATAAGCCAACCAGGTAAGGCATTCAGCTTCCCATGGAACTTTGAATGAGACCCAGATATATCGATAGAGCTTCAAACGCTGATTACAAATATGGAAACTAAAACTGCAAAATGAACCTGCCAAGGAAGTTGTGAGCAGTCAAAGTTGGCTGGAAGTAAAGCATTACACTAGCCTCCGGGCTTTCAAAGTCGCCGTGGAGTAGTGGTAGTGCTCTCGGAATTTGCACTCCAACGGGAAGAGAACTTATGACCTCCGGGTGAAGAGCGAGGGCACTACCACTACTCATGATTACTGTGAAAACCTGAGGTCCAAGCATGGTCATATGCAACGCTTTACTTTGGCCAACTTTGACTGATCTCTGTAGTTCGTCCCTTGACTGCGTCTCTTTACAAAATACTACAGCAACACCATTACATGGCCGGAAAAGGTTACCGAGCAGTAAAATAGAGAACAGTGCTCCCCTTCAGGCGCACTGAAAATTTTGCTATCTTTGTGAGTGATATCATCACTTGGACTCGCTTAACGCCGCGCAAACCCTCAAAGCAAAATAACACATAAAATTTCAGACGAAGCAGTGGCAGCACACTTGGAAAGGTTCCGTCATCGCACGTGTAGACCAAAACCGAAATTCCATTCAGGCCAATCACAGCTCCCAGCTTTAATCGGAATCCTGTGGTCCTGAGGTATAGGTCAAGATTCAAATGCATGTGCATGATGCATCACTTAACAATTGGATATTTTGAGCGATTCGTTCGCTGTTGAGGTAAGATGGTGTTTATATTGGCATGTGATGCGTTTGCTGCGCGCATGATCCGAGATCAGATCCTGGGTCAAATTCCTTCGACATGAACCTGGCTTTTTCACATCGTTGGACCGAGTGAAGCAAGTTTTGGTACATGGTCCCGACCTGCCCACACAAGTGATAGGCTGGTCAGGATCAAGCGTTGGGCTAGTTGGGCCAGCCGCTTCAATTCATAACTCTTCCTTTTTTCCTGCTATTCATGTATCACAGTTCCTCTGCGTCTGTCCAACAGAAAACCTCAATAGGACTCCGATTCTATTCACGAGAAGCTTTTAGAAATGACATACGGCGAATAGATGACACGATGATGACTAGGATTGGCAACTAAAGGGATACGATGTTTCCCATCTTGCTAGGTTTTCAAGAAAGGTGTAGAGCCCAGGAGTCGAAAGAGAGAATTAAATCATTGATATCGATCACAAGAGGGGGTGTAATACTGGGTTGTTCGAATAGTTGCCGCCGATTCTAGTAACTCAACCTAGAACGCTTCCTTCTGAATCACTTCTTAGGAACTGCTACCACTTCATACATAAACAGAAAGCGCATTTCTTGCTCTGCTTATTTACTTTCACTTTACATATAAAGCACTCTTATTTATTTATTTATTTATTTATTTGAGACGCCGCTCAAAGGCAGACGTAAAACACAATCACGAATAAACAAACATACAACCAAATGATCCCTAATATCACTTTACTCAATAACATAATAATTGTTTCTTTGCCAAACGTTTGAATGAAACAAAAACTTGAGGAGTAAACGGCATATTGATCTTTAGAGAGATAAATGTAGAGCCAGCTCTACAAGTAAAGCATGAAAGTTTCAAGTTTGTCTTGGGAGTTACATAGGAAATCTTCTCCGACGACCCTCTGGTTCTAGAATTGACTAACCGATAGAATTTGGATGAGTCAACTTTGGTGATACCGCACATAATTTTGAAAATCATACAAGCATCATAGAGTTTTCGACGTGAATCAAGAGTGTGCAACCTATACTCACTATTCCTGTGAGTTGAGTCTGGTATCCTAGAATAGACAAAATCACCGGACTTGATGAAAAGCTTTCTCGTAAAATTGTTTTGAACTTTCTCTAAGGTTTTAATATATATATCTCTTTTTGAAGTCTGGAATACAACATACTCAACAAACTGTTATGTACAAGTTCTTGTTTCCTTCAAAATTGGTCGGAAAAGTGCTGAAGCAAGTCGAGATATCAACTGAGCATTTGGTCCTGAATCCACAAAAAAATCGCTGTGCAGTCGTGATTCAAAATGTCTTTCTCGCGATGATAAAAGCTTCGAAGAAGATTAGGGTGAAGGTCGGATATCGGAGACTGACAAAGATCAACTGAGGGTTTTGATCAAACCAAATCTGCATGGAACTGTTGAACAGGCCGCTTCTTAATTAGGCGTAACCAACATGGGGTTCCAAATGTAAAGGTGTCCAAAAACGTCCGAAGAAGTCGACAAGTGGGTGCCGCGCCGACTCTTTTCTCCACGGTTGCGCAGCCCCATCTCGCACTTTCGTGCACAAAACTAGCTCAGCTATAATACAAACTGCGCTGCAATAATTTTGCGCAGTCCTCTTGCCCAGCAACTACTCTTTCAGCCATCTGGATAGTCTTTTTAAAGAGATCAAACGTTGAAGCCCAATATGATCGTGAACGACCTTCGCCGAGCTTTTTGCCCATAGAACTCTAGCTCTTCAAACATCCGAATCCACTAAGCCCCCTTCTCTCGAGCAAATGTTAGTGACTTGTTAGTTACTGTTACTGTTACTTGTTTGTTACTAGTTACTTGTTTGTTAGTGGCTTTTATTTTAATTGAAATTTTTTCTTTGAACCGAGATATTCGCTCCTGGAATTTGGGGGTTACGATCAACCGGAAACCTTTCGTACAAACCAACATTCAGAAGGAGGCGCATCTCAACATTCCCTGCTGCTCATTGTCATTTTGCTGCCATTATATGTCAGTGCAGCCGCCAATAGCACATTTAAGGTGCACCCCACACCCCTTCGCTATTCCAAGCTCGTTCCCTTCGAACTTAAACTTCATTTGCATGGGCAAGCCATCAAGAAAGAAACATCGAGTATGTTGAATGATTTATTGGGTATCAAAGGCGTGGTAGGGTATCGACAAATGCTGTCCCTTGCTAAGCGCACACTTCAAGAAGCATTTAATCGTAAATCGCATCCTCTTATGCCCATCGGCCTTCGATCTTCTTTAGGCCGAAAAAGTGCTTTTTGTACATGATTCAACTGGATTGATATAACACTTCTGCGCAACGACTAGCCACACATTATTGAATGATTTCTGCTTTTGGCTTAGGTAATTTTTACTGGTGACTTTCTCATCGCGTGGTTAATTATCAGAACTATACTTCTACCATATACTGCCTCATGGTCAGACGTTTAGAGTGCGGTGATATTTTACCAACGCTTTTGTGCAAACCTCATATGGCCTACTACGATTGAATGGCATGATATCTGAACCATTTCAATGTAAGCGACACCGAAAAGAACTCAAGGGGTTGTAATACAGGGGCTGGCAAAAAAGACATTTTGCCCAGGTCGCACTTCGGCCTTTTTCTTCGCAGAGATTGCCGTCGTTGACGGAAGTTCCTCAGCAAAATATTCCCTAAATGTCCCTCTATAAGTACACGCAGGCCCTCCTTCACTACCCTCACCGTCTTCAGAATATGACGTCATCTGTCACCGTCGTCGAGCTCAGGGAGGCCTACAGTAACTGCTTTAGCCTGAAGCTCTTACATAATTCCCCCCCCCCCCTTTTGGAACCCGTCGTAACGGTACACGATCAGTCGAGAACCCCATTGAGCTCGACCAGAGCACCATGTTTCCGGGGCAAATTTTTCTGATGCCGTCCACGTAGATGGCCACTATGAAGATTTTCTTATGAAATGAAATGCGCTCTTCAATTCTAAGTTGGGAGCACACGCTTTGAGCTGAGCAAAGTGTGATTAAATCCATTTGAGTCTGGAGACAAAATGTCTTTTTTTATTGCCCCCCCTTTCTA